CCGGGTTCGCTTCCCAGATGAAGCCCATACTGCTATATCCAGTTTGGAAGAAGGTCATATTCGGCCTCTGAGGTTGCTCCCAGGTCCTGAAGACTTGCCGATCCGCTGTAGCCTTGTCGCCTTCAACCCCTTCGGCACCAGCGCACGATCTGATTACGAAGCCATATCCTACGTCTAGGGAGATGTCAATCAGACCGAGGATATCAAATGTGAAGGAGCCCACCTACAGGTCAACATCAATCTTGTAGAGGCTCTTCGCCATTTTCCGATGCTTGGGCGTAATGCCGTATGAGTGGACGGCATCTGCATCAACCAGAACGACACTCTAGAGCGGGCACAGCAATTTCCGCTCATGAGATTGATCTACTGGCAAGCACATCGTGTTCTCATCCGGCTGAGTCCTGACAACATCGAGTTGGAGCCATTTGCATTACAAGCAGCCATGCATCTAGCCAAGAGCCTGACTTCCTCTTGCCCTGAATATAACGGCCGGGGACTGGAGCGCCCTTCGTCGTATATTGCGTTCGAAATGGTTCTCCCGAGTATGGGTTGTCCAAGAGCTAGGCCTTGCCCGTCAAGCAATTTCCCATTACGGTCCTGTATCGTTTGATGCGGAATCTCTACGCGAAGGCATGATCTATCGCATGTTGGTCCCGTGTTAACGAAATGTATTCACCCGGCCACTCTCCAGCAGTTGGCATCAGCAGTTCGTCAGCCAGCTGTTTTTGTCGGCAGAACTTTGGATCCAACGATTTAAACGGCCAGGCTTCGCGCAAATAGGACATATGCTGGGTGTAAAGGTATACTTCGTCTGTGTCGTGCCCATCTAGCTGTTTGATATAAGGTAGATGACGTAGGAGATCGATTACGTCCTCTGATCGACGGAAAGCACAGAGGACGTCAACAGCAAGCTTTTCATCGCTCCAGCCTTCATCTGGAGGGTAGAGGACTTCTGCAGGATCGAAGTAGGCTGCTTTCACCAAAAGCTCATAGTGTCGCTTGATACAATTCACCACACACATCCCGATCATAGGACATTCTTGGTGTTGCGGACAATTGCAACCCGTGAGGATTGTGGTGGACTGCGGAAGACCTATTGTGCGGACAGTAGCGGGGCATTGAGGCACAGTCCGTACTAGAACTAATACTGTAAACTGCGCTAAGCCTACAAAAGCTTTCTGTGAGTCGTAAATCAGCGAGCTCAATGATACAATTATTACGGATTTAGATACTATCTGATGGGTTCAGTTTACGCTTTCTGGAGCAGAATTGAAAGAATACCCTCTTTCTGGAAGGAGATATCTTGTCCCGAGGCTTCGTTCACGTTGCTGTCATCGATGATCAATTCGAGACGCTGGAGTGAAGTAAAATGGGCGAGAAATGGCTGCAGATATTCGGAGTAGTGGACGCCATGGCTAAAGATAGACGAGCGGCTGACGTATCGGAGGAACTGAAGGCTTTCCTTCGTCTCGTGTGGTGATTTGTCGGGCAGAACCTGACAACTCGACGACAGTCTAAGCTCAAGCAAGTATGGTGACTTTGCGAGTATCCAGAGGAACTCTCGGCCACTCCAATCTAAAGTCTTGAGCTTCTGCAAGCCTGTAAACGGCGCGCAATGTGTGTCTCGGCTAGAGAATCTGGGAAATAGTGCACGGAGGCACTGGGGCATGAAATAAGCGTGTTCATCGGAAGAGTTGGGGGCGGCTTCGTAAAGTCGCAGACTTAGTCGCTTGAGTGAGTGTATTTGTTGGATCAAGGCGCCTGCAACAGTTGGTTCGGGCAGGGTCATGTCCAAGTTCGAAGTGAATGGCAAGCCACCGGGGAACACACTTGTAAATGGGATAGAGACAGCGATATTGCGATCAACAACATCCAGACTCGCCGTCTTGACTATGCCGCAAAGGTCTAGACGTGACGAGAGTGTTTTGTAGAGCATGTACAGCGCCTTGCTTCGTTGTCGTAGACGTGTGTGATGTCCTCGTCTGCCACCACGGGTTCCACCACGACCCCTGTAGTATCCAAGAAAACCGGGAATCCCCATTGGTATCATCTTGCTGGCTTAAAGACCTGCAGGGAACGGTTATAGTTGACGCTTCGGCGAGCCCCTCTCAGCAACTGGTATTGATTATGAGCAACAGCAGCAAGGGTCGCGACGATGGAGATGCACTGTTACAATTTCCAGAAGCTCAATAGGAAGCCGGCCGATGTAAGGTATGCGAAAACGGACTGAGCATGTACTTCGGGTCGATCGTGTCCAAGTCCGGCATCTACTCGGGGTCGAGTTGAGGAAGCACCATATTCGAAATGGTTGAGAGATCGAGGGGAAGAATAGATGTGGGTGCTGTATAAATAGTGGAAAGAAAACCAAGAGGGGGGGGGGGGGGGGGCTACAATATATTCAAAGGCGCGAAGCACATGGTAGAGGTGGAGATTTTACATCTTTCACATCTTTCACATCTTTCACATCTTTCACAATCCAATTTCCCTATTTTTCTCGACCCGCGAGGACCCAAATAAGGGAATCTCGAAAGAGCAAACTTTCCTGATTGTCCTGATTTTGACCTTATTGTCGATTGTGTCGAAGGACTTGTGCTTTGAAGTTAGTCGAATTGTGCTCTAGCGCAATCACAAACAGAATGGTCGAGTGTGGAGGGCTCACGGCGGGACTAGTCAACCAAAAGTTTGCTACGGCTTGACTCTCAATCAGCGAATAGTTCACGGTGTGCCATAGAGAAAACTCTCGGCGGAAAGATGTCGGTCAATGCGATGCGGTAACGGTTGAACATGGGCCTCGCTACATGTAGCACATGTTGGGCCACACCAAAATTTCAATATCATGACTGATCAAAAGACACCCAAGCAATGCTTCGAGGACCAGGCTGTCGTATCACTTGTACGAAGCGATGCAAAGCGCTCGAATGGAATGATAAAATGGTGTGCGCCAAAGGGGGCAAAGTCACAGAAGGCACCCATCTGAGTTTCAACGGGATCTCGCGGCTCAGCTACCTGGAAGGTGTCTCAGGCTCGAGAGGCATCAGATGACAGTCGAGTGCGCCGTGCTGTGAGGAATGAGGGTTGGAGACGGGCGCAGTCACACGGCAGTGCCGTGCGGGCGCTAGGAGGCGGAGTTTGCGAAGATATGATTGGCTGATCTCGGCAGTGGCTGTGCGGAAGGAGCGATTGGTGATGGTGGGGACAGCCAGCTAGGCATCCACGAAATGCACCTCTGAACATGCCACAGCACCCCTAGAGCCATGACGACGACCCGCAAGGCAGTCGCATTCACTATATTCTCATGTCCCCGCACACGCGCTCCGCCATAACACAGTAACCCGCCATCGTCTCGAGCCGCGCGACTGCGCGCATACATCTTCATCATGGAGACCATCAGCAGACTGACACAGCTGTATTCTGACACCAAGACGTCCTGCGATGCCGTCGTCGAGCAGGACACAAAGGACATGCAACCCGAAACAAATGACCTTCACCGGAAGTTCCGGATACAGAAGGACCGCCTGATTACGTGGGGCGTGGACTGGAGCGACAACTCCAAGGGAAAGCAGGGAGACATCGACGCGAGCGTGGACCAGGCAGGCCTCACAGAGACAGTAACAAGTGTGCTTGGGACCATCAGGGAGATATCAGATGAGGCTGAAAGGTTGCGGACTGGGGCGCCCGTGGGAAAGTCGCTGTCAGGAGAGAAGAGGAAGGCTGCATCTGATGCGCCCTCGTGGGCGGCCGCCGACAGGTCACGTTACGAGGACTTGATCAAGGACCTGACCACTTCCATCGACATCCTCTACGACCTCTCAAGAACACGACGGACACAGCGCATAGCTTCGCGCAACCCAAGCCCACACTCCAAAGCTGGCCTCGAAACACCGCGACCTGCACAATCGACGCCCGTATATTCCTCGGCAGCCTACAGTGCCTCAGATTTGACCTTGGTCAACCCTGCAACCTTCCCACTCAATGCACACACAAACTTCGCCGCTCGATCGAACCTGCCTCCGAAGCTGGACCAGTCAGATCTGATCCTACCCGAAGAAGAGCCTCCGCCATATGAGAGCGTTGGCGCATCTTCCAATCCGAGTGATTGGGTCGTCTCCGCACAAGAATCAGCTCCACCAACCCCTGGAACGACAGACGGTGGTCGCACTTTTTTTGACCCCAGTGCCGGCCGAATACCCAACAGAGGACCCGGCCTACCGTTTTACAGGAGTACCTCCACCTACTGACCGTCTTGAGCGCCTGCTCTCCATCCTCACCAAACTTGCCGGCAACCAGAACTTTCATGGCACTTTGAGGTGTCTCGGCTACTTCGAAGACACTCAGCAACCGCGCTTTGGTCTTGTATTTGAGCTGCCGACCTCTGTGTATTCTGGCCCCACTGACCTTCACAAGTCGGTCGAAGAGCTGCGGCCAGTCACACTGCTTAGCGTGCTCCAAACCGGGTCAAAGTCGTCGCACAATTCCAACAGTGCCACCCCGCCGCTCGAGGATCGCTTCCGTCTCGCCTTCACGCTCGCTCTGACCTTTAGCAAAATACATGGCGACAACTTTGTCCACAAAGATATCAACAGCAGCAACATTGTCGTCTTTCGCAAGTCGAAGCGTCAGTCTGCCAACACTAGAGCCTTGCAATACACACTTCGATCTCCAGTGATCTGCTCGTTCGACCTCTTCTCAGAGTACGACATCGAGCCGTCCAACACAATGCCGAAGCTCAACATCTACCGCCACCCAGACGACCCAAAATTCACTGGTGTCAAGGATGCGCCTTACGGTCCTCACTTCGACATGTACAGCCTTGGCTTGATCTTGCTCGAAATTGGACTGTGGCAGCCCCTGGGCGATTTGTGGAAGCCAAAGTACACCTTGAACGACTTCAAGCGCCGGATAGAAGATGTCTACATTCGTAAGCTTGCGTCCAAATGTGGCACTGCATACATGCAAGTCGTGCGTGATTGCTTCTGGGCAGCCGACAATGCCGAAGGTCTGCAGGACCCTTCGCAGCTCTACAACCGTGTCATCCTCCGACTACAGCGATGCTGCATGCTCGATGAGTCGGAATCCGGGTTCGACTTGAATGAGCTCAGGCCAGGCGTCACACCTATTCAGAGCGCGTCACCACTCAAGCGCAAGAGCGTCAGTCAACCGCAGAACATAAATGAGACACCCTCAAGTCCATCATATAGAAGTGCAAAGCGATGGGCCATGGAGAAGAGTTCGCAAGCTCTGGAGCGAACTAAGTCTTTGTCGAGATCATCGCCCAAGCAGTCTCAAGAAACTTTGTCCCGAGTGTCTTCACAACGCTCACAGCACTCCATCCGCAAGAGTATCTCCGAAAGTTTGCGTATGATGAGTCCGAAACAGGAAGAATGGGAAGACCGAGACCCCATGGAAGAATCAGGTTAGTACACATCATTGCAACTCATAACATTCTCGCTAACATCGCATTTAGGCACTCTTGTCGATACACCACCCAACTCGCAAGACCGTGGCGATGTAGCACCTCTATCGAATCAGCAAATCATCACTGCTGCAGCAACCATTCAGCGTGCATGGCGAGCATCACGTGCTGACTCATCCTTGCGGGAGGCAACGCTCAAAGGATACAAAGAAAAGATCACCGTCATCCAGAAGGCTTGGCGAGACAGCAAACAGAAGCGGTCAAACACCATCGAAGCGCTGCTTACCGACGGTATTCGTCACTGGCCGCAAGCCACGCTAGGCTATCCGACACCAGAGCCAGAGGTCCGCACTTACGAGCCAAGCAACAACTTTACCACGTCGTCTATCCATATCGAGACTGATATGGAGCCTGTCGCTCGTCCCAAGCTACGCCTCTTCCCTGCAACCTTTGCGCCTGATTTGGTTGAAACTTGGCACACGGCAATGTTGCCTCGACTTGAGCGCCTCATTGAGCGCGTACTCAAGGACTCCGACGAGACGATCAGTATCGACCTCGTTGCCATTGGCGACATGCAAGAAAAGGCCAGACCCACCATTTTCGTCACTTGCAGCAGTGTCGCAAAGGTGAAGGCCATCCTCGCCCGTCGGTTCCGCTACGATGAGAACAAATTTGATCTCAAGGTGCGCCGTGGTAAGCTTCGACGTTCAAAGATGAGTCGATCTTCTCGGAGGGTGCATCCTCCGCATCGCTCAATGATGAACACCGACAACTACAATGCCGACATGGCTGTCATCAATCCCTACCATCAACAGCGCCCACTTTGTGGAGCATCTATTGGTGCTTTCAACGGTGAGCATCTCCCACCAGTCTCTTACGGTGGAGTAATCCTGGTCGATGACGAGCCAGTTGGCATGACCGTGCATCACTTGCTAGATGCTCCATCTGACGATGAGAGCGAGGCTGGCGATGAATATTCAGCCTACCCAAAAGATCCGGTCTTGTCAAGCGCAAGTGGCAATAGCAATCCGTGGTTGATGGGCATGGGTGCTCAACCAGATCTTGAACTTGATTCTGAAGAGCCTGCAGCAATGTGGGATCTGGAGCTTTCGGACGATGAGGATATGAAGAGTGATGACGGGGATGACGCAGAGTCATTCGACCTCTCCGACTCAGAGTTCGACTCGGATGAGGAAAGCGTACCCGAGCTCATGAGCGACTCTACATTCTCGCGCGTTACAACCGGAGACATCGAAGGCATCCAGCCCGGCTCAAGACAAGACATCAAAATCACACAGCCAGCAATAGATGATGTAGACGAAGACTTCTTCCCCAACGAAGAAGATCGCGACGAAGAGCACCTCCTTTCCCACGAGCTCGGCCACGTGCACGCTTCATCTGGCATAAGACGCTGGAAGCGCGCTGGCATCGTCCACGAAATCGACTGGGCCCTTCTCAAGCTCAACGAAACCCGCATCCAACCCTACAATATATGCCAAGGAGGCCGCCGCTTCTGCTTTGGCGGCATGAAGCCCGACCAGCAAGCAATCGCCTCAAAACTCTCACAACCCGTCGACCGCCGGCACTACACCCCCGACGAAGACGAGTACCCCAACGGCGTCGCCAACGCTGACAACCTCGGCGGCATGAACGTGCACTGCTTCGGGCGCACCACGGGCCTGCAAGGCGGCATGATCAACCCAGCCATGTCCTCGGTGCGCATCTACCGCCGCAAGACCTTCTCGCGCAGCTGGTCCGTCGCGGGCGGCTTCGGCGTCGGCGGCGACTCTGGCGCCTGGATTGTGCAGAACGGCACTCACCAGGTCGTCGGCCACGTCCTAGCCTGGTGCCAGCGCAACCACATCGCATACCTTTGCCCGATGGAAGTCCTCCTCGAAGACATCAAACGCACGCTTGGCGCGAAACGTATATATCTGCCTGGCTCCGCGCAGCAGTCGCTTTATGCTACCAAATCCCGCAAGGTTTCCGTGAAAGCGGGCGAGCACTCGGGTGCGAGCACCGAGGTCGATGATATTGAGATTGGTGTACAGGGTCTCGGGATTGTGGACTCGGCGGTGGATATGCGCTCGACGCTTGGGACGGGGCCGCCGAGTGGAGGCGTGTGGATGCACAACGGGCGGATTAATTTTCCGAGCGCGGAGAGTGATAAGGAGAATGGTGGGGCGATGAGGAGTCGGATTATGAAGGTTAAGGAGGGGAGGGGAGGCGGGTTGGAGATGGCGGTTGTGCCGTAGATGAAGACCTTTGATACCCCCGGCTTTTTAGTACGTGTGGATTGAACATGCATATTCTTTCAGGTGGTCTTGGATGGTGTCAGTGAGTGATTGTGCGATGTGCTTTTGGTGCGATGTTGTGCAAGAGTGTCGTGTGGATGGAGTACGGTATGGCATGGTGATCGATCCACAGGGCCGATCTCTGATCCGAGGAACTCATGCTTAGTGCGAGCCTGTAGCATCGTAGGATCTAGCTGTAAAGCCACTTTGCGCATTGGGAGCAAGGGCTCAGACAGATCGTCGGGTGTCTCTGTAACCGGTGGGGAGACCGGAGGGAACTGCAGCGAGGCTGTGTGAGTCGATGCATCCTGTACAGGAGTGCCAGCATCCTCGCCCTCTTCTTCGAAGTCTAAACGATCATGTAGCACCCTGGTGACGTCCTCAGCGACGTTGATTTCGCGTTCGCTCTCAAGATCCTGCATGGCTTCATCCGGATCTCCGTCAGCCACACTTGATAGTATGACATCCGTTATCGTGACTGCATTACCGAACCCCGATGATGGAAGTGGGAACTCGGGATCGATTGACTGCGCCGATGGGAGGCCGTCATCTTCGCTCATCTGATCCAGTTCTTGCGCTTCATCCCTGGCAACGATAGGTAAGCCCGGAGGCGACAATGGCTCCAGGAGGGCTCGCGGAGCGCGATTTGATGGTAACCTGGAAGAGAAAAATGATCTCGGTATCGTTGAGCAAATCTGTATACACGCTAATTAGTTGTGGTTCATACAATAGCAAAATATCGTCGTAGATGAAACGCGTGGTATATTTGTGACAACTCCTAAAGAGCCAAAATACGTATTAAAGCATACCAACAGAGGCTCGAACCGGTGCTCCATGGAGTAACAAAAATGCCAAAAATATAGAAATTCGGGCGACTATTCGACCGGAGCCCAGGGCGAACCCCAGAGTCTACTCATTGATTGGGTCGGGGAATTCCTATGACAGATTCTTGATTTGATTAATGCATATCCTCTAAATTTGAGTTAGCGATGTTGCTATGAAAGATGTGTTTATTGTTTACGCGGGCGCGAAGTGAGTTAGGTTGTGCGGGTCAGGAAGCGAAGTGAGAAAGCAGGGCAAACCATCTAACAACCTGAAGGTATACACCACCAAATGCGGTGGTTTGAAAGGTATGGTATTAGTTTGGTATTAGTTTGATAGTGCTTAACGAATGCGCCCGATCTTTGTTAGATACTTAGAGCTTCGCGCTCTCTACCACCAATGCATTGCTTTGCGTCAATACCTCAACAGCCTCCCGTTCCATCCGCTTTGCTAGCTCTTCACATGTCGGGATATCGTGTATCAAGCCGGCACACATACCCAAGCTCCACACTCCCGCATTCACATCGCCCGTTTCGTACACACCCTGACCTCGCTTTCCACTCATCAAATGTGCCACGTCTTCGAACTTGACATCCTTCTTCTCCGCCTCAATCTTAACGACCTCAGTGCTGACGCTGTTCTTGTGCAGGCGGGTCGTGTTACGGAACTTGCGTAGACACAGTACTGTGTCGCTTTCTGTAGCGGCTACGATTGCTTCTTTGACGTTGTGGTGGATCGGCGACTCCACCGTGCACATCCATCTCGTGCCCATGTTGATACCTACAGCGCCGAGCGCAATAGCTGCCGCGAGCTGTTTTCCATTCGCGAAGCCACCTGACGCGAGGTACGGAATCTTCAATTGCTCTGCGCAAAGAGAAAGCAGGATCAGAGAAGTCGTGTCATATTCTCCCCCGTGTCCGGCACATTCGATGCCGTCAATCGAGATGCAGTCAACACCTAATTTCTCCGCCCTCAAGGCGTGCTTCAGCGTAACGCATTTATGGAAGACAATTACGCCGTTCTCTTTGAGAAACTTTAAGATCGGACTTGGGTCACCCGCTGTCTCCACGACCTTGATGCCCTCTTGAACAACCACTCGAGCGTATTCCATGTAATCTGGCGGGTTCATCATCGGCAGCAAGGTGATGTTGACACCAAACTGTACCGCGCTTGGCTTCAGCATCTTCTTTGTTTTGCGGATTTCATTCCGGAGAGCCTCTGGTGTAGGCTGTGTGAGCGCGGTAAGGAAACCAAGGGCTCCAGCGTTTGCTACTGCGCTTATCAATTCTGCTCTCCCAACCCACATCATCCCTCCTTGGACCAGTGGGACGCGCATTCCAAGCTTCTCCGTGAGCCAAGTCTTGATCGGCATCGTGTCGTTTGATTGTATCGTTGTTGTTGTAGGATGAAGGTGTTTCTGTGAAGGATGATAGGCGACACTAAGGAGCTCGAAGGGGTTTATTAACGACGGGAGTCGGCTATACCAATGTGCAGTTGTGGTGTTGAGGCTGATTCTGCCCATTCCGAGTCAGCGGTCATTGCCGAGGTTCCCCCCCTTTTGGCATTGCACGTGCCACTTTCCTTCACCCAGCCACCTTGAGACGCGAACGATTACCGCGTTCGTCTCACAACAGGTACCATAGTACTCACATAGAGGTGAACACATCAAGGTTGAAAAAAAATCTAGGTGTATACGCGGTGACGCTTGAGATTGGCTTAGACGGACGCAAGAGAACCTTTCTAGGTTGCCCTGACGTGCCTTTGATCGTGGTCTTGCGCGCAGTCTTACTTAAGGAAATTCCACGCGCCACCAGGCAGCGGCAAAATTCTTGTCCGCTCTACACATGCGCAAAGTGATCCAATAGTCTCTAAAAGCGCACTAATAAGTTAATAAAGAAACCTGAATATATTCAGTGCTATAAGATATCTTGTCCGGTCTTGCAAAAAGTTTTGAATATATTCAGGCTACCTCTTCACTCTTCTCGTTCGGTGAAGGCAGACAGGAATTTTGCTGGGGCCTGGTGGCGCCACAGGGTGGAACAATGCAGAAACAAGGACTTCACTTTGAGTAGTCTTTGTAAACGAGGCAGACGCTCCGAGTATAAATATTTATGAAATTGCTACTCGACTATGAGCGACTAAGTAGCAGCTCCTCGATGGTACCATATCACATCTGTAGTTACAAGAGGTATGCAGCGAAAATAATCGGCGCAGCAAAGAAAACTTCCGCGTTCTTCCGCACAGCAGCACCTGTGAACTGCGCTGGCGGAGGGGAAGTGGGTGCAGCTCCGCAGTTGCTTCCTGAGCATCCATACACGCCGGCCGAAGCATTCCATGTGAGCTGCATTGGATTAGACGAAGTGGGCGCAGCACTGCAGTTACCTCCCGAGCATGGGTACCCGTTGATCGAAGCAGTCCCTGTCTGCATGATCACAGCATTCCCTGGCGCTGAGGGAACTGGCCAGCTGTTGATGATGGTTGCATTATATCCATCGGCGACCGATGGCTTCGATGGTTTTGAGGGGGCGTCGACAGGCTTTGAGGGAGCATCAGCAGGCTTTGAGGGGGCATCAGCAGGTTTTGAAGGGCCATCCACAGGTTTTGAGGGACCATCGACGACAGGCTTCGGGTTGTTAGGTATCGCAGGAGTGACAGGGGTGGGCTCAGCCTGAGGTTTGTAATTAGGGACGGATGAAGCCTGCGCAGGATAGACCGAAGGCTGTTCAGGCTGAGCGGGCTGAGCGGGCTTTGCCGGAACATCAGCACAGGCTGTACAGATGGTAACCGTCACGGTGGATGGAGTAGCGCAGGCTTCGCAGTATTTTACTGTAGTGGTATACCCATGCGGTATACCTGTTGGCTTCGCCGTGCAACCGTCTTTGCATGTCTGCGTTACGGTTACTGCACTCGTCGTCAGGCCAGTGGAGCAAACATCTACGATGCGAGTCGCGTAAACAATCTTGGTCGGAACAGCCACCACTTTTGTTCCTGTTTTGACATCCGTAACATATGCAGTTGGTGTAGCCAAGTTCAGAGGGCAGTACTCGCCATCGCGGTCGCACTTGGTGATCGTCTGCACCGCAACTTCGGTGTAGATCTTGGTGATCGGCACGTAGCCGGACTGATGTGCCCAGGCTGGAGTGCGGCTGGGAGTGCGGCTGCTGTCGTAGCTGTCCTCATAGCTGTCCTCATAGCTGTCCTCATAGCTGTCATCGTAGCTATCATAGGCGGCTGAGCTACTAGGCCCGTGTGATCCATACGACTGACCGTAATGCACCGGGTACGAAGTGCGCGAAGGTCTAGACTTCAAAGTCTTAGTAGAAGCAGAGATTGCTGCATACACGGAGGTTGACTTGTAAGGACTGGTAGTCGTCATAATGCCAGGGCCCACGATAGAGCGTATTGAGCTTCTAGAGGATGCAGCATCTGATGTTGATGCGTCGATTGGATCAACAATACCAGTCGGATCAGAGGTGCCACTCGAGGAAGAGGTAGCACTTGAAGTAGAATCACCGCTCGATGCTAGCTCCGAAGACGCACCGTCCTGAGTAGAGGCCGAAGATGTAGAGACTCCCGTTTGGAGCGGATCAAACGTCAATGAGACTAACGACGAAGAAGCACTCTCGCTAGGGCTCATGGAGGCTACGGGAGTAGAAGAGGCGTCGAGAATTGACGATTCGATAGATCCAGAAGAGCTTTCGGGAACTGACGATGCGTTGGAAGTCACACCGGACACCGACGAAGCAGCTGGAGTCGAGGATATAACGATAGTCGAAGAGGCAACGGACGACGATGATACAGCAGGAGAAGAGGAGGCGGAGATTTGTGTACAGCCGTCTGGAATATTATCTTGTCGCTTTACGATAAAAGGTTCGTCCTTGAAAAAAGCTGGATAGTCCACGTCGCGGGTGTTAATGTTTGGTCCATCTATCTTGCGATCCGGAATATTGTTGAAAACATTCGTCACATCTGGGGTGTAGACCTTATTCTCTGATGGAAAGGTTCCGTTGACCATGTAGTTCTTGATTTGTTCATCTAACTCAGGCGAATAGTTGACGTTTGTGCAATGTTATGGTAATCTCATTAGTAATGCATGAGGGTTTCGTTTGGGTATCACTTACCCCGACACCTGAGCTAACAAGCACCCGGGCTCCTACAAAGCCTCTAGCTGAATTCTGTGCAGAAATGAGAGGTGTCACAGGATCGTACTGTGTGTTGACGAAGAGGATAGGGTTTTTCGTGCGGATGTTGCTGAACGGGGCTGTGAACTTCTCCTTGGCGTCATAAGCCCAGACGGAGCACGAAAACAGAATGTTTATTGCAATGTCACCTCCGTATTTGCTGGTCTTCTCGTATATCGCCAGCCAGCTTTTGTAGTTGGCTTCAGAGCCTATTGGCCTCTCTACAACATCACCACAGGTGATTCCAGTAAGGGCAAGGTCAGTATTGTTTTCAACGTAGTTCGGGGTCCAGTCCAACTGACGGCGCTCGACAGGGCCTGCATTGATGGTCCGAGGGTCTTTGTAAAAGCCGCTTAGTTTGGTTGCGAACTCTTTGTATGCTGTTGGACTGGGGAGGTATAGTATTGGCTGAAATGCGTCTCGAACCGTCTTGGCCTGGTCGTACCCAACTTTTGACAGGAAAGCATCGAAAGTGTCCAGTAGTTGTTGACCAGTTTTGCCAGCTTCTGCAACGTCACAATTGGCAGGATCAGCGGCGGCACATAGCTCAAAAAAACGAGCGACAGCGCGGTCGTAATCGGTGGAACCTTCTTCTCCTCTAAGCGACACTGTCAGTGGGTCGATCAAGTATCGCCAGCTTCGACTTACAGTCCGCGATAGTAGTCGTTAGGGTTGATATTGCCATCAAGAAGGACCCTATCAACCTTATTCGGAAACATGGCCGCCACAGTCGCGCCCAAGAGCGTGCCATAAGAGTAACCCCAGTATCTGATTAAACCGTCTTCACCAATGGCTTCCGCGATCGCGTTGATGTCTCTTGCAACAAATGCAGTTCCGATCAAGGTGGAGTACTCCGCTTTGGCACAAGCATCAGACTGATTCGTGTTGTATGCGAAGGTAGCCGCAAGACCTTCGTCCGTATTGTACGAGCCGGCACTGTCAGCGATCTTTGGGCAAGTGTATGGTGTGGTCAGACCAACACCACGAGGATCGAAACTGATGATGTGGAAGCTGTTGCCCACAACGTCTTGATAACCGGCCGTGCCATTTATGAATTGCTTGATGCCGCTTGCTCCGGGTCCACCAGGGTTGACGATGATCGATTTCGCATTCGGAGTGTCAGCAGCTGCTGGCACACGGACGAGACGCAACTTGAGTTTCTCGCCCGCACTCGGGTTCGTCCAGTCCATGGGAACCTCGAGAGTCGCACATTGGAGCGCCTTATTCGTAGCGACATCACAATTGATCCAGGTGATGTTTCCTGGTCTAGCATAGCCGGGGGGACACTCCTGAGTGATGGCGAGTTTAGCACTGGACACAACTGCCAGTGCCGTGGCAAGGCCATGGAAACGCATATTAATAATTAAGAGTATATTGAAGAACGACTGGAGTGAGTGCGGGCCTCAGGAAACAAGTAACCAGGGTTGGAAGGCCGTAAGAAACCCCTGTAATGGCTGCAAGAGCAGCAAAAGTGAACATTTATACAGAACCATTTCGTGAATTTGAAAGCTAGCCATCGTGGCTCACAGGAAATGCTAACCCATCTCGGCGGAATGCTCGTTGAGAATCTCCGACTTTGGTCATTCACTTCTCTCTGAGGCCCAGATAAAGAGCAGGATTTCGAGAAGCTGGAACCGGCGAGGATGAAAATTGTGGTAATTAGGTCGCATCAAAAAAGCCAAGATCGTCTAACAGATTCCGGCTGCGAGCTCGCTTCACTCAAGCTTGAGCGTTGAACTCTGATCGGTGTCCGACTGCTGCCAGTACCAGTTATCATTTGCGCATCTATGGGTCGCAGTCGATGAAGGACTAAGCACGATCGTGTCAGGCTCCAATCTGGGATATGGTAACATCTTCTACAAGAAGAGGTGAAGAGGTAGCCTGTATAGATTTAAAGACCTCTATAGAGTTAGGCAGAGCATCTCAGATCTGTGTATAGATTCAGGCTCCTATGAAAACTTATAATAAGCATACCTTTAGACTATTAGCTCTTATCGTGTAGGTGCGGAGCGGGCATGGATTTTGCCGCTGCCTGGTAGTGCGAGCGTAGGAATTTGGAGTTGTTGAGATCCAGTGCCGTGGTACGAGTCGTCACAGTCAGTTAGTCGATTTAGCAGTCACGGAGAAGCTGGGGCGAGAATGCATGTGCTTTCGGCTACCTGCCGACGTACGAAGAGATGAAAACAATCTCAGTGTCTGCACCCGATTACTCCCCAACGACAGATGAAGAGGTTCTGACATTGTCGGCAACTGTATGAGTTTTCCTGATCTCGATATGGGGGATATGCCGCTTTAAGGATTATTGCGTTGCGTCGCTACTGTGCTTGGTCAGCGCTGCGCAACTCAGAGCCCCTTTAGGTTCGCGAAGTTCCAGGGTCGCGTCTGGCCTTGACGTGTAACCCCAACATTTGATGATTTCAATCAGTCACCACCACGTTGAGGCACAACATGCTCAGGGTCATGAGTTGTCGTATCAAGCCGTCCGCAGAGCAAAGCATTGTCATAAAGCCTACAATTTCTGCCTCATACTCGCCCCTTCGCGCTACACCCTTCGCTATCCGTCTATTTTTGTCAGCAGCATCGTGTCGAGATGATGGTTTCTCGTGTCATTGAGTGGAGACACCATGCAAGCACGAGGTTTAGCAAGCCATGATAATAGAAGTTTCTTCTGTACATACTACATACAACCCAAGCCCCGCTAAAACGCCAGCACATGACTTTCAAACCGCAATCTAGTAAAATGCAACCTTAACCTCCCTCGCAGGCTGCAGCACAATATCTGCATGCAACCCAGGATGTCCTCCATCCATCCTGTTCTCAATCCCTTGATACCTCTGCAAAAGTCTCACCAGTGTGTATCCCATCTCCGTCAGCGCGAATTGCTGGCCGATACAGAGTTCTCGGGCCGCCGTTGAAGGGCACATATGTCCAGGTCT